AAGTACAGTTGATACATAGTTTGTAGTATAAGAAAAGAAGCTAGAACTCTCCTCATTCTCCTCCAATTAAGTTACTTAAGTCACAGCTACAGAAGTTGAAGGTACAAAATCTAAAATAAATAAATAAATAAATTAATTAATTAATAAGCCAGCATTTCCATTTGAACTAGGTCATTGAAGCAAATTTTTACCCACTTAATGTGAATTGGGGGTCAGAAATCACAGCACTGGCAAGTGCTCTAGTTTTATTTGACATTTAATGGATAGTCTTGATCCCTTTACTAGAAATCCTTGCATGTTTTCATTTCTATGGTTCCCACTCTTTGTTCCAGGCCTTAGAGTAGGCATAATAAGCACAAGTTTCTTCTGCCTGATTGCATAAGAGCAATCAAACCCTTGCAGACCATAGTCCTCCATGAGTGTTGGGTCTTCCTAACACATCACTTTTTTTTCATAGTAACTCAGACATCTGCCAAATGGAAACTGAGGCTTTTCAGAGACATTAACATTCTTTAGTGCAGATAACAATGTGTTTCTTGAAAACAGGTAATGATTCAGGAAATGATCTCCCCTGACAATTAGTCTACTTCTTTTTTCAGTTTTCACACGAGTAATGACAACTACGTGCCTGCCACTTCCTTTCAAAGGAAGTGCTACTGATGTTTTTGAAACTATAGTCTAAGGGCAGGCCAAATAGCTCAGCGGATTAAAGCACCTGCAAGCAGGCACAGATGCCGGGGTTCAGTCACCTTGCTTGCTGTGCTGAACCCATCGCCGGGGTGCGCGGAGGCGGCAATTAAGACTGGACGTGGTGGCACTCTCAGCTCTTGGGAGGCTGTAAACAGGTGGATCACTACGAGTCCGGTCTAGTACTGAGACCCTGAACACCCGGTAGACCCTTCCCTGAAATAATGGAAGAAACTGTAGTCTAAATCTTAAAATGAAAATTAGTAAGCGTCGACCAGCTAGCTCTAAGCGATCCCTGGTCTGCCATGCGGGCCCCGCCCCTGTGGTGACATGCCTGTGATCCCCGTGTTTGTGAGGCTGAAAGAGGCGACAAGTCTGGTCTGTGTAGTAAGACTATGTAGACCTTGTACTGAAAGGAAGATTCGTGTGCATGACAATAGTGATACGTAGTGATCTTTTTCTGGAAAACATGGTTGATAAAATATTAATTAGATGATCTTTTAATAAAGAAATTATTTCTCTTCAATCCTGAATACAAAAATATGGTTTTCAGAATCAACTTCCTTCTGGAGGAAGTGATCATGGTTCATTTTGAAAGAACTGTTTCTTCAATTTTGAAAAGTTAAATGTCAAGTAAAAGCAAATGCTTCCCAGACCAAATACCACTCCATATATGGAACTGTCAAACAGCTAACACCAATACATCAAAAATTATGTGGGCCCAATAAGTCTTCCCTTTAGTAATTCCAGAGGAGTACAGTCACATTTGTCTGACAGTAATTCCAAATTTCTGATGAAAATAACCATGACCCATAAAATTAACGCTACCTTTAATAAACTGTTAGAAGATCATCAGAAATTAAGCCCAGTGATTTCTGACTATTAAGATGTCGCTAAAACTCTATTTTGCTACAATTCCTTTTCTCAGAGGCTAACATGCCCCAATCTCTTTTTTACATAGTCAGTCCTTCCTTTGTGCTAAGGCAATGCATACTGAGGCTTAGTCTTACATAGTACTCACTCCTGGTATAAACACAGCCACCCACTTCCATTCTGGCTATCTTCCCAAGGTCTTGTTAGTGTCATGTAAAAGCTTTGCTTGACATCAGCCCTAGTTGTGGGAATCCACAGAGCACAGTCCATTGAACCTGGGGTCCCTTCTTTGATTACTTTGACTTCTGTCACTAAGGATATTATGTTTATGAGAGTGGTGACCAAGCAAAGAAAGTTTTATGGTGAATCAGTTTGCTCTCTCATTTCTACTTGCTTGATTAATATTCATTTTTATAAAAAGAATAGAATTACTTAAACACATTGGATTGCCCCTGAAACAAGTTCTCACCTGTGATCTCAAATCAGACCACACATTTTGTGATGAGCAATAACCAGGGACATTCTGAGAAGTAAAAACAAGCACCAAAAGGGAGATTGGATACAAGAAAAACTATTGTTACTTGAAATCTAAAAAATTTGAACATGATGGTTAGGTCAAATAACCAAAAGTGTTTGAGCTATGGAAAGTTTATATAAATAAAACTAAGGTAACATGAAACTCAATTTACTGAAACAAGAAGCACCTGACTGTAAAACACTGAGGACATGTTGCTCAACACTCACAAATATTTGCTGAGTGCCTCTTCCATGCCTGACTTTGAACTACATTTCAAATTCATCTCTGAAGAGAATATATGAAAACACTGATCATCCTCAACTTTATGTCCCATTGGTAGAATACAGACTGAGTAATTAATAATATTTTATGTTTATATAATATAAAGCAAAGCAGGGACCTAGGAAGTGCTTGGGAGGTTGCAGGAGGTTGGGAAGACATGGGGAGATAACGTTTGAGTGAAGACTTGAAGTAGATGAGGAAATGGGCCATGCAGACACTTTCTAAAGAGAAGAAACAGTAAATGCAAAGAGCCTGGGGCCAAAAGAGACTTAGACTGCTTCCAGAGAATTACAGGAAAGCCTGTGTTTCTGAATGAGATAGAGATTGAGTCAGATAAATGAAGAGGGTAGAGTGGGCCCTCATAGCAGAGCAGCTTTGGCTTGTATTCTCAGTAAGACAGGTAGTGATCTGAGAGTTACAGGGAGAGAATTCACATCATCGACATATTTAAGAGAACCACTTTGGATTCTCAGTACATTTTTTATTTAGACTCTAGTCAGAAGTTTCAAATGAAAGTATTCTAAAATTGAAAATGTCTTTTGTTTAATTCAGGGAGTTCACTTGTGAATGTCTTCTATACTTCTTAGGATGTCAGTGTGCATATATTTGCATTTTTTAATACATGTATCAAAAATTGCTAAAGCATTTGCTTCTTTCCATGCATTCCTAAACATCCTATTGTCCCTATTGATACAACACTGCCACCTCACTACATACTCAGGCTCTGCGAAGGATGTTTCTGTTTTCTTGCACACACTTTACATTTCATTTTTGCCTGTCTCTTCACCATTCCTACTTATCCTGATTCCAGTGCTATCTCCATGTCTTTTGTATTTACCCTTCAAAACTAATTCACTTGCTACAAAACATCAATTGTTTCCATTGTCCTTAGCCAAGGTAATAATAACCTAAATCCTCATAGTAGTAACAATCATCCCTAATTTTAAGTCGTTAATTATGTACTGTATAATTTTGGGCACTTTCTTGCATTTGCTTTGTCTGTGTAACAAGGACTCTCCTAGAAATTTGGTGTTATGTCTCTCTTTTCTGCACCAAACACAGGTCTGAGGTTCCCAACTCGTGCTCATTAAGTACTTAATAACTGTTTGTTTTGATCTTTCAATCCTTTTCTATAAATATATATGTCACAGTGTGACTACATTATTCAGAACTGTTTTACAGTTAAGGGTGTCATTGAGAATCTAATGGAACGGAGGATGACAAGACAAATCAGCTGAGGAATCCACAGTAGTTTTCACTTCTGATTCAGGGCACCACTGTCGCTGTCCTCTCTCCCAGGTGCTGAAGAGTTTATGCACCAAGTTTACCAATGATATCTTTAAACTAAAATAGTAATTTATGTTTCTCTTCAGTCACCATAACTTAAAATTTCACTGCTTCTTGCCATGTTACTCATGAATTTTTTATTGGTAGCATGTATTGCAAACATTTGTTTTGAAAGACATTTTGGATTATAAATTTTGGTGTAGAAATGTAGTCTACTGCAATGAATAACTAATTGATTGATAGCAGGAAAGCATCAAATACTTTAGTTGAAGTTCTTATATGAGATTAATGACACATTCCTAAGCATAAGAGATACTCATTCAAAAGGAAAACCATTATGTTTGCCATTTTGTGTGAGTATGTATCCAGAAGTGATTAAAAATATGTGTGCTTTTGAATTCTGTGAGTTACGTTGCTTTCTAGTGTGGAAGTCAGTTTGTAATAGAGCTCAGTTCAAATGAGATGAGACTTTCACGCTCTGTGAGGGGTGATGCTATCAGGGTGAGCAACAGTACTGAAGGTATACATGATCCCAGCACAGAGCAATCCCCTAGGGGGTTCCAGTTAGGAGCTGCAAGCACCAAGTGCTTTTGTTTCATTGTATACAATCTTTAATTTAAGAAGGTGTGTTCTCTCTTTTGCCACAAGTCTTAATAGTCCTCGTTGTCTTTTTCTTTGCATTTTTTGCCCTTTATTGATACTACTTTTGTGGCCTATTATGTATTCTTTTCCTTTATAAATGATGCACGATGTGCTTGAAATGCATACTTCTTAAATGTTGGAGCAGATGTCTTTATTTAAATCAAAGATCCAGTTTATGAAAGGTATGGCTCAAAATCTTCAAAACATGTTGAGTTGTAGTTTTATAACTGAAAGATTGAACTAACTCCTAAAATAGATTCCGGAGACCAGAAAGACAGGATAAAAGCAAGCCCACCCTGAATAGAGCTAACATGAGCAAATCTACCTCCTATCTATCTAAGCAGCTTTTCTACCACTGAGATAGTTAAGGAAAGTGAGAAGGACATATAGAATTTGCCAGATTTGGACCATGAAATGTAGTTTGAGTATGAATGTGTGAGCCAAAGGGATATTTGATGATAATTTTAATTCAGCTTTTTAGTCTCCTAGCACAATCAGTGATGAAGAAATGTTTTACTTCTGACTGCCTTATTTTTAATAAAGTCTGGATGATTTGTATGTAGAACTGAAATGAAGAGGGAATTTCATTTTTCTGAATTATCTTATTAAACGTTAGGAAGGATTGTTGGCTATTTTACAATACTGTCATTAATAATAACCACAGATATCTTTTGCATATGACCTGACAAATCATCTTTGCTATACACTTCAGGCATGAACTTCTTGAAGAAGCTCGGAGGAAAGGATTGCCTTTTGCCCAGTGGGATGGACCCACTGTGGTTGCTTGGCTAGAGGTAAACATAAATCAAACAACTTCTAGTAGTTCTCTCAAATCAATCACTGCTAATTTTATAGGTTTTTAGAGACAGGCAGAGATACTTTTCTAAAATCACAGCTACCTGGTAGCCTAGAATTGCTCAAAAGAAAATATTGGCTTTGTGTAAGGATGTGTTAGCACTGTAATTCTACCTGGGCACTCTGTGTGTGTGTGTGTGTGTGTGTGTGTGTGTGTGTGTGTGTGTGTGTGTGTGTGTGGTTGTGGCAGACAAAGGCACGCAGTGGGATGAAAATAAACATCTGTAAACTCCAATTCTGCATGAGTAGAGTAGGAGAAGAAATAATTATTGAGCCACTTTTTGCTTGTTGCAAGGATACACCTGTTCTCCTGTGCTACTCTTCACCAGCAGGTTTCAGAGAAACATTCCCTCAGTATCTAATGCTTCTATAATCTAAGAATGTCACCTAGTAATCTACACAACTGTTTTTTTCTTATAATTTAATTCCTGAACATAATTCTCAAAAGTCTAGAGACCAAATAAGGTTAGACAGTTAAAGTAAAATATATATTCCTTGTCATGTACAAGTAGTATTTTATGATTTGGTATATGTTAATTCATTTAACTAATTAGTAAAGGTTAGTATGAATTATTGAAAGAAAAAGTCAGTGTTTATTCCACTGTACAATGTTCTTGGAAAAAGAAACAGTATTTTAACAGGATGAAGGGCAGCAGAAATGGACATTGACAGGGTAATTAATAGCTCAGTGGCTAAGTGCCTGCCTGGCAAGCACAAGGTCCTGAGTTCAATCCCTACTGCCAATAAAAAAAAATACTTGACCACAGGGGCTTAACCAATTCATCTTTTCCATAATGTCCACTATCTTTCACTTCAGTTTTTTAAAGTGGGCTGCTGGCAGCTGCTAGGATATGCCAGTCTTGGTGCAAAAAGAATCTAAGCTTTTCTTTCCTGGTAGAGTCGATGGCACACATTCTATTTTAAAGGTTTGGGGTTACAAAGTCTCCTACTTTCATGATCTTGTTATGCCTAGAGTTGAATAATCAATGAAGAAAAATTAAAGGTCAGTCTGATTTAAAAAATAGACTTACAAAGGAAGATCTAAAAACATACGCTACATTTTTTTTTCTTGGACTGACAGAAATAAACCTGTATCTTTCATTTAAATTTTGCATATCTGTCAGGAAAATGTCATCATATTGACAAATAGAACTGCTTCTTCCAAACATGCCTTTAAAATTACCTTATTTTAAAAAATCAGTTACAAGGCAAAATGCTTAAGATATCACACCTTAAGAATTGTAGTTCTTTGTGCAGGTTTCAGTTCTACAAAATGAGCTGCAGTTTGACAGGGAGCTGCTATTGTAGCAAGTAATGAACAAATCCTTCAGTAAAAAAAGAAACCCAAATTCCCCACCATGAACTGTCTAGGGAATGATGGGCGGTGAAGTTGCTGGTAATTAAGCCTATCCTGAGCACACCGAAACTGCTCCTAATGTGATTCCTAATGTGACTCAAATTATAAAATGGAATAAACAAGACGAATGAGCCCAGTGGCCCAATGAATGGAGCTCTTGCCTTTCCCCTCTCTTAGCACTCTGCAGGGGAATAGCCCGTGAAGAATATTGTGCAAAGACGAGGCTGATGTTTTACGCATCATTTGTCCACATCAAAAATAATAAAGAGTCTAATTGTGGGTGACATTGGTAACAATGTATCGGCAAGCACTTGAGTAATGCTGACCATTGTGGAAATTCAAATAGTTTAGAAGATGGGTAGGAAATCACTACAGGACAGTAAAGGTGTCTTTAGTTGTTTATTTATTTTCAACATTTTAAATACTAAAAAAAAAAAAAATCATCTTCTCTCCACTCTAATGTACTTGTCAAGGCAGTATCAATTTTGTATGCTGAAAAATTATATATACTCTGTAATTATTGAACTTGAATTCCCTCTCTTTTCTATTTGAAAAGGCAAACTCAGGCCTCATTAAATATGTTCCTATCAAAGCAATGAATTACTAGCCCTTCTTATATATGAAGGGGAATTTGGTGACTTGTAACTATCATTTTTAACCCTTAGTAAAATACTAGGTATATTGCTTATTAAAATTCAATGTGAAAGCCAGACTAACTCAATTGATATTATTGGTTCTACTACCACATAACTGGTGCTTTGAGTACAATAATTCCTGTTTTTGTGCATCCCCTACCTTCTTTGGAGAAAATGATAATGGTATTTATCTTATGGGAACATGGGCCTAAAAAGATCACATATATGTAAGGTCCTTAGACTGGTCCTTAGGATGTAAAAGACATTGAAATATTAATTCCTGTTATCATTGTCATTGTCGTCTGTGTATGTCTTCTTTCCCTATGCAACAGCTTTGGCTGGGAATGCCTGCCTGGTACGTGGCAGCTTGCCGAGCCAACGTGAAAAGCGGTGCCATCATGTCTGCTCTCTCGGACACTGAGATCCAGAGAGAAATCGGGATCAGCAATCCCCTGCATCGCTTGAAGCTCCGCTTGGCCATCCAGGAGATGGTTTCCCTCACAAGCCCTTCAGCTCCTCCCACGTCGCGAACTGTGAGTCCCTTCTACCCCCAACCCGCCCCCCCCCCCCCCCGCAATGCTGTGTAACCAGCAGTGTGTAACGCCACAGAGCAGCTGGGACAGCTCACATTTCAACTTCAGTGTGAATTACTCTAAAGAGATTTTTAGCTCAGTCTTCATTAACCTTGCTGCTCCTTTTAATAGGCTTTCAATTGTGGAGTTGCAATTCATATCAGACCTAGGTCTAAGCATCTGGATAGACTTTTGAGTGAGCGCTGAGAGTATGTATATTTTTTTTCAAGCTAAAAGTTTCAGAGCAGATTTTATCTCAAGGTTTCCTTTCTTTCTGATGTAATCAAGATCTTCTCAGGAGAAAGTAATATACATGATTATGTTCTGACAACACAGCACTTAACTATTTTTAAGCAATCTTTGTAATTATGAAATTATACAAAGCTTGATCTTTTAAAAATGTTGTGTAATGCTTTCCTTCAAAATCTGTTCACTTTTAATCATAAGTCCTAGTCCTTTTATAATTTTGTCTCTAACTTAATATCAGAAACAATAATGTGAAAAAGGCTTCCATGGTGACAGATTCACTGTGTTCCTGCTGGGTGTGGGAGTGCAGCTTATAATCCCCGGCCTCTGGCAGTCTGAGGTGGGAGGATTGTAAATAACTTTGTGTCTGGCCTGGAGAATTTACTGACTTAGTCAGACCCTGTTTCCAAAAATATAAAAATAAAAAAGATTTTGGGCTGTAGCTTAGCCTGAAAGCCCTGGGTTCAATCCCTAGTACCACCCCCCCACACACACATACCACACACCATACACACAAATCTACATTTTAGGATTTGTACTTAGACAATACAAATGCAGTGGTTTTTTTGGTTTGTTTGTTTAATGTTATCATATCTCTCAGAACACTATGAGTTAGAAAAAATGAGAATTTTTTTTTTGTTATCACTGTTGTCTGTGTATTAAAATATGAGTTTGAGTTTCTTAGCAAGATGGCCTTTGTTCATACCCAGGTCCTGAAAAGTGACACTGGAAAATCAGGTGTGTTTTTTTCTGTTTGTTCGTTTTGTTTGTTTGGCTTTTTTTTTTTTTTTGCTAACTTCAGTCTTTCTTAACTCACCCACACTTCAGTCTGATTTTGCCTCATTTCTTGTCTAATGGAATGGACCATTTTCCAACAGGAAAATCTAAAGATCACCTTTGTTATACCCTCAGGCCATCCTTCGTCTTCTAGTTTTCTTTCTTCTCGCTTCCAAGCTACTGCTACAGTGGACGATTTCTTGCCTAATTGACAGGGAGAACATTCTTAGTTGGTTGAAGTTTGATTCAACAAGGATGTCATAAAGGATCAATATATTCTTTAAATACTTTATCTTCAGTAAAAATATGTGAACATTAAAGTGTTTTTAAATTTGAACGAGGCATCTAGAACTTTTTTGAGCACATTTCTGCTAAGCATATTTACTTTCTCTGTCTTAGTTTCTTTATATGATGTTAATATGACTCAAAAAAACCACTGGAATGCATAAATATTTTGGCACTTTACAATTTTCCTCATACTTGAAGAATGTTGTATCCCATTGATACTATATTTTAAGAATTTCTTTGTTAGGTCTTTTCAAGTAATTCAATTTAATCTTCATAAGTGATCAACATTTCTTTCATTTTTAGTCTTATGATTTGTTTCAGTCACCTAATCACAAAAAATCAAATTTAATAGAAATAATAATTTTGAGGACAAATCTACTATGCACGTTAGTAGTTTGTGAAGAAAGGGAAGGTTTAAAATAAGCATTTGTCAGCACAATGTGTAAGGGAAACAAAGAGTTTTTATTGAACTAAAGATTTGTTTTAATAGAGATTGCTTAATAAAATTTCTGCCTGAATTAGAGCAATAGCCAATATCTAAAACATGTTATCATCAATCATTCTAAATGTGGTAAATGTCATAACTCATGTCAACTTCATGTCCACAGTAGGAGATAGAAACTTCTACTCTCTGTTTTTCAGATGGGGAAAACAGATGTAGAGAAATTAAGTGATTCATCTAAGGTCACATTTGCATGTGCTTTGCTCAGAGTTCATGCTGCTACTAGCTACCTCCTACTGGTTCCTGTACTGCTGCAGCTTCCCTTCTGTTTTGTAGCATCTCCTCAGTGGGCTCTGCTCTTGTGTTCGTCCTTTACTCTCCTTCTAACTCTCTACCTTTAACAAACATAAGGCAAAATATAATTAGATAAAAATCAGTTTATTGGGATGAGACCATCTCTTACAGTGAGAAATAAAAGTCCCATTTCAAAGAAATTTGAATCTAGGTAATTTGGCTGAGGAAAGTAAATTTAAGTTACTTTACTTTGCAATTTAACTATAAAGTAAATGATACTTCAGAGTGACCTAAGTAATATCAGAGGTTACTTAAGGGGTAAGATCTAGGAATATTCTGAGGTCTGGCTCATTTACTTGTCTTGTGTCTTTGGCAAGAGAACTAATTATTTCTCCTTATCAATTTTCATGAGTTGCTTCTTAAACTTATTTTAATAATTATTTTTCTTTCATAACTCCTTCAGTGTGATTCACAGTGGAACCTCAGTTTGCAAAATTAATTCTTTCCATAATTCTGGTCTCAAACTGAGTTGGACAAGAACAGAATCAAATTCAATGGTTAGACTCAATGGTGACCTTGTGGGGAAATCTAATTTGGTTTTCAACCACAGACCTGGTAGAAATTCAGGTCGTGAACTGTGGTACCACTGTAATAGATAAGGGGATATGAACTGTAACATCCTTTACAGTTTCCTCTAAGTTTTTATTGGACAATACTTTCCAGAATATCACTCCATCCTGACCTGGAGGAGAGAAGCAAGGCATCTCCAACACACAACTTGATGAAGTTCTCACTGTCACAGCCAAACCTGTGTCTGCACAATACTGAAAGTCAAAACTTCCTTAAATTTATCTTCCTGGTATTTCATTCGTTTCTCATTTTGAGCCAAGTCCTGTGTTCAGACATTCTAAGAAATAATTTCCAATTCTCAGTATTTTTCTAGTGTTAATTATGAACTTTTAGTTCTATGTAAGATATAGAATCTGAAATTTAGAAAAGATTAGGAAGTGTCTCATAGTAGCTACTAAAAGTGGCACTGTTAAAATTCAAGCCACTTGATGGTAATTTGGTAATTGCAATTACAATTTTGTGAATCATTTGTGTATTTGACTAATGCACTTAGGTATTAGTCAAAAAATGACTACTAACTTGTGCTGTCCAAGTAGGACAATGAGTAGGTGATGTAATGATGGGGCTCTCCAAAGACCAAGCTAAATTTGATATTGTCCTTTATGCTTTTCCAACCTACATTTTTATATTTCACTCCTCTTTGGCCCCAAGGCATCATCGTCTCTATGTTGTCTATTGTACTGTATTGTATTGTGTTGTATTGTGTTGTGTTGTATTAGCTATACTCTTAGGGTGGTCTTTTCTCATGCTCTAAAACAGTCCTTCATGACATAACCAGATAAAAATTATTAATTGGTAATGGAAAGCAAGCAATCGTATTGAATGATTCACTTACAACATGTGGGTTTGCTCATAGGTATGCTTATTAAGCCTCAACAAATATCTACTTTTGGGTTGCACAGGTATTTGATGGTTTACTTTGCATAATAGCACAGGCGAAGCTCACAAATAAAAGTAAACCTCAAAGGTTAACAAAGTACAACTTTTGAGACTGTGCCACACATACTTCGGCGAATTGCCCTGGATATACGTTCATTTTGCAAGAAGAAATTATGCATAAAACAGCCTCTTACCCATCTCAGGAACAAGACATAAACATGACAGACACAGGCTTTAAAGATCAGAAGTCTGTGTCAATCTGTGTCAAAGATTATACATGTGTATATTCTGCTATGAGATAGTCTGAGCCAGATTCTTAGCTCAGAAGGAAGATCTTTATAATTCAGATTCAGAATCATGGTATTAACTACAGAAATGAGTGTAAAACCGGACCAATTTACATTAATTTTATCTCAAATAATCATCATTGAAATTCACTTTGAAAAGAAAGCCACTCAGGCTAAGTGCTATGTTAATAGAATGAGATGACTGAACAGTGCCTTTTAATATGATATGAAATAAAACCAAGTTCTTCCAAATGATTTAATGTTTTGTCTGTTTATATGGAGCTTTCTGTTTATAATGAACTCCATTCCAAAAATCTGAAAATAGAATAGGCAAGTTTTTAATGGTATGAGTGGTTCTTTTATTTTGTACAAGAGTGAATGTAGATTTATCTTAAAAGAAAAATTTTGAATGTAGTCATACTTCTAAAAAAGAGAATGATACATGTATACTTATGTTTGGAACTTTTATGATTTACTTTTAATTATGAATCTTTATTGCTGAATTGTCTTTGCCATATATACTTGTATTATCCTAAATATATATGTATATATTATTTATTGTGTGTATGATATACATGTATATATGCCATTTATACAAGATTGCACTTTCATAAAATTATACTTATCAATTTGGTTTATATATACTTTTTAAATTATATTGGATTATATTATTTAAAGACAGTCAAGCATGACATTATGTAAATTTTAGGAAAATCTTGGGTGCATTATAGTGCTGAGTTATGATATTTAGGCATCTCTTTTGCTGCTTTCAACTCTAAAACAAATAACAACATATAGAGTGTAAATTTCATTAATATATTTCATTAATATACCCTTTCATTATCATAAAGATTTCCAAGTGAAAAACCTAGAATTTAGTGAAAAGTGGTTTCCAATGGTCAGTATAATATACCTGATTTATATTTGTGAAATAGATCTTGGATTAGTAATTGTTTAACTTTTACTATATAGAAGCAACCATGGGGATAGGTCTACCTAGAAAGCAAAGAGAACTCCATGATAGGATAGAGAAAATTTCCTTTTACACTATTCTCTTCTTGGTAACAGGATACTGCTGAAGAAAAAGAAAATGTGTGGGTTTTACATATTGGTAGTATTTAGTAAAGATGTAATATAGTTGTGATTAAGTAAAAAGTCTCACTTTTCCCTTTCTCTCTATAAATATACAACAGCACAATATTTGCCTAATGGCAAACAGAAGAAAGTATTTGAAAAAAGTTGATAATATGATTGTAGACAAGTTATGATGGTGCTTACAACTTTGTATTTGCAGTCATTTTTCTCTTTCCAGTGGCGACTATGAATCCAAATTTTGTGAGTGAAAATTAGCTAACAATGTAGTAGAGCACCACCTTTTGCTAAGTAAAAAATACAATTCCTTTCCTCTGCAATTACTCTTTCACATTCCAAAAGTAATAGTCGCATAACTTTGAACTGCAAATTTTGATCATCCCCTTTTCCTAATGGTTTTTATGGTTACAGACGCGTACTTTTAAGGCTAGAGCTTTCCCCATGAGCTTCTCAGCATGTCTCTGCCTATTTGATCCTTTTGAGTAGAAGAGGAAGGGAGCCCTGAGCAAGCCTGCCTGCTGTCCCGTGCATGCTGTCCAGCAGGGCACTGTGGTGAGCTCTGATGGGGCCGGACTCACACAGCACTGCCTTTCTCTTTACCCTGCTGCCTCCTGGGACTCCACTGCTTCTTCCTGGGCTCCTCACTAGCCTTCAGGCAACGTTTGGGTGACGCATGAAGAAATGGAAAATCTTGCAGCTCCGGCCAAAACGGTTAGTCTTCATGGTTTTATTTAACTTGAAAGAAAGCTATTTCACTGTTGTTTGAGTGAAAAATCGAATTCACTCTCTGTAGACTAGAGAAATAAGAAATGGAATATGTTCATACAGTTCATGCAAGGATAATTAGTATTTATTACAGTTTTAATTTACTTTCTTGCCATCTTTAAGTGCTAGATTTTTGTACTGCAGTAAACATCATTGCAATATATGGGCAATAGTCAGCAATTTAATACTTTTCCATTCACTTTGCCATGATGGAAATTTCTAACAATTGAGCAAATTCATAGGTACATATTAATAAGCCAAATGAAATGTTGTAGAATAATTAAAAAATAATGTAAACCTTTTTTAAAAAAAATCATTGTATAGTTTCTGTGCAGTACCATCTTGGATACAGAGCTTGACCAAAAAAAATTGTTCTGTTCATTTGGCATTCACAAATACAATTTTAAGAAACTAATTTTCTTTTAAATTTAGTTTTATTACTTTCATTGTAGTTGCTCTATTGGTTATTATCAAATTCTATTTGATCCCATGTTTCTCTCTCTCTCTCTCTCTCTCTCTCTCTCTCTCTCTCTCTCTCTCTCTCTCTCTCTCTCTTTCCATCTTTCCCTTTTTAACATTTTCCTTCTCTCCTTTTCCCTTCCTTTCTCCTACTGAAGAGTAGTGACTGGGGAACAAATCCAAGTTATGTCATGTATGTGTACAAATTATGTATGATGAATGTGGTCATTATGTATATCTAAAATTTGCAAATAAAATATGATTAAAATTCCATTTGCTTACTATGATTTGTTAGATACAGCCATTACTTTTAGCTCATTAATTTCCTTTATGTAAAATTTCCTTATCATATAGGTGTAAATATATAATCAGAAATTTGTACTATTACACACAGGTTTGCAATAAACAGAGCAAGTACTCACAAAATCATGAAAATTCCATATGTCATATAGGCATATATTTAAATTTGAGCAACTTAAAATCTACATTGTTGCCTAATTGTCATCCTTGCTCTGAGAAGTTGATTATTCTGAATATAAGAACCTATAAATCTGTTGATAACATCATAATTAATACTTTATGAAAAATTTTGCTTCTGCTACAAAAATTTTGCTACACTTCTTGAAATTAATTCATATTTACCTGCTTTATTAATCATTTCATGCTGCTAACACAGAAAGAGTCTGAGGAAGGAAGCTGGGCCCAGGTAGGAAATTCATACGCTTTAAGACAACTATTATTTAGACTCTGAGGATATAGATTAAGAATCTATTGTAAGTCATAATATTTGTTTCTTCCCCATCTCAATAATTAGGCTAATATGTATACTCAGATCTGTATTATTTTAGACTTACATCAGAAGTCTTTTAAAACAGCGTATTGTCCATTTCATAACTGTGCTCAAATCATAAGAGAATGTTCTTACTTCCCCCAAGAGTAACCTGCAACTCCAATTTTTCTGAAGTCATTCTTGAGTATATTTCGTCAAGAATCACTCAAGTTGAATATAGGAGAAAATGTCTTTAAATAACTATTGCTTTGGAGTTCCTTGTGGCTAACTGTCCTAAAAGTCTATGATGATGTGGATTAGAAGGATGGCGGTCAGTACCACAGACCACACACCAAAAGCCATTTCCATTTCCTAAGGCAGCCCTAGGAGACAACTTCTAACTTTCAATAAACATGAATGTTTTCAAAGAATTAGTTTATCTGTCAGGGTTTTTTTTTAATCGTGCCCTACATTTAAGTGTAGTCTAAATTGGTTGATTTCTAGGAAAAAACTTTGATTTTTTCCAATGATCTTTAGAGAAGGGTGGTTACATGATCTTCTAGAAAACAGTAGTTTTGATACAATGCTTCAGCATTCTGTCTAACCGTATTGGTCCTTTCAGTAGTTGCTTACTGCGATTTCTATTGCGCATCCACGTTTGCTATTATACTTATTATGCTTTAGCAATACAGTGGTGACACTGAAGAGCAGGAAATGGTGACGTATTGTTTACAGATTATAAATAAAAAATAAGTCCGTTAAAATGAAGAATCTTAAATTCAAAGTTGATAATATGCTTCTAACTTTAATTTTATTACTAATAAAATAAATGTTTGGATAAAATGTAATTCCTTTTAGAATGCAAAGTGAGAAGTAAAATATTTTCTAACGATAACTATTTTTATGGATATGTTTAAAGTTCTATTTTGTACCAAAGCAAATAAAATATTTACAGGTTAAATACTATTTTGCTTTAGATAGATAAACAGAGAGAGATTAAATATTAGTTATATTAATATTAAGGCATAATGTCTTCCAATTACCATCTCAAATCATTGGCTAAGAAACTCGGCTGCTATAAAACAATTCTAGTGTCCGGTTTTTCTACAGACTCTGGCTTATGGAGATATGAACCATGAATGGATCGGAAATGAGTGGCTTCCCAGCCTGGGGTTACCTCAGTACAGAAGCTACTTCATGGAATGCTTGGTGGACGCAAGAATGTTAGATCACCTCACCAAGAAAGACCTTCGGGTTCACTTAAAAATGGTGGATAGTTTCCATCGGTAGGTGCTTGCCAATTAATAAAGTGAAACAGTAGATATTGTATGTTTTACTAAGAATAAGACTAGGTGTTTAGGGAATACAAAATCTGTGCTGATGAAACTACCTGTGTAGAACTGTATTCTCATGGAGCATGGGTTTAGCTTTTTAGCTGGATTTTAGGGAATATCATGTTTTTAATTTTATAAATCTGTATATTTATATTAGAAAATTGATTATGTAGTCTTTTTTTTTTAGTGGAACCTAGGATTGAACTAAGACCCTTGCATTTGCCAGACAAGTGCTTATTCTACTGAGCCATCTCCCCAGCCCCTAGAAAACTGATTATGAACAATAAGATACTTGTACTTTTAGTCCTATAAATACACATAGTTGCAAATTATATGATTTAAGGATGTGCTACAAAAAATTAGAAGGAATTATTCTATAAAGAATATGTTTTTACTTATTATTAAATGCAACTTTTAGAACTATTATTTGTATATTAATTTTCAAAAATCTATTTGCATGTGTTGCTAAACAGTTGTGAGGACACAGGTAAATAAAACATAATTTCTTTTTCTCAAATTCTCTAGTAGGTGTCAGGTACAAAAAGGAGCTTACAATATTTTATCACAAGTGCTGTGTTATAGCCCAGTATCTTTAGACTCTCTGTTCGATAGCTATAAATTAAAGATAAAGGGATCATCATATTTGTTCTTTTCTGAAGCTGCTCCTCTTCTCAGGATGATGGTACCTTCTCTATGTGTTCACGTGTGTTCTTTCTTCTGCAAAAGGGCATCCCTCATGTCCTTGTCCAAAGTCCCTCTTCTTGTATGGACATTCAGTCATATTAGAGCAGGCCCAGCCGTAACTGTTTCATTTATTCACTTCTTTAAATGCAGTCAAGCTTTCAGGCACCCAGACTTCGAATTTCAGTGCAGGAATTTGAGGAATGCTCAGTTTGGCTTACATTTACCTGCTTAATGCAAACTCTACACACCCCTTCCCTCCTGTCTCTCCCTTATCTCTCTCTGTGACATTGAAATACTTGGTTCAGCGTTTTCTTACTACAGTGAAGAACTTAGAAATCCACCCAGCATTTAAGTGTAGCCTGACAGTTGGTGTCTAAATTTGTACACATTGCTACACACATTGTAACCAATTAATGAAAATAATGTTGACCTTTACTCTTCAAACAAAAGATTCTTTTTTTTTCCTATCACACTCATCACAGACTTTATAATTAATAACACTTATTTTCTCATTTTTTCTCTCCACGATGTTTCTTTTCATACTCATGCTTGTGACATTGTCAGAGGTTTCCCAGTATCTAAGGATTATGTGGTACCCATGTCATTTTTCTTAACATTATTCCCCTCAAAGAAAAACCCTTATTATTCTTTCTTCCTCTGAAAACTATCCACTAATTCTCAATCATGCTGGTTGATTTCACACATGAAATGCAAGACTTTCATGAACAGTTCCCTGTTCTCTGTATAGAATTCTGCTCCTACTTACTTCCTACCATGATTTCAACTTGGGAAAGTGTCTCTCAGCCCTCACGCCTTTGAAATTCTGCTGTAACCCTGTATTCATGATGCTCTGTTTTCTCTTTCAATTTTTATTTATGCATTTATTTGGTACAGGGTCTTGCTATGCAGCTCAGACTCATGGTAATCCACCTGTCTGAGCCTCCCCAGGGCCGGGATTACAGGCATGCACCACCACGCCCAGTTTCGAGACCTGCACTGCAAGCCTGGGTACCAGGGTCAGCACAGCATGCAGTACCAGGGATCGAACTGTGGATCTTGCACTTGCCAGACATGCGCTAAGACTGCTGAGCCCTGGCTGCTGAAACTCCACTTTCTTGCTTAAACCTTTCTACTGCTTGATCTTTGCAGGACTGGTCTGTTTTCTTCTCTCCCACAGGACACTTCCCACATATTTTCATGACTGGCAGACTTCTGTTTTTCGTGTCCTTCTGCTTCAGAGGTGTTGACTATTCATTGTAGTCTTTGTTCTGTAACACATCGTGTACTCATCTTTTGTTATTATTCTCATTAGTTTAAGGGAAAGTCTCCATTTTCTATAATTCTTTATATGTATAAAGGGACTCTAATTTATTTTCTTTCTTTCTTTTTTTTTTTTTTTTTTTTTTTTTACCGGAGATTGAACTCAGGCCTTTGCACTTGCCAGGCAAGTGCTTATTCTACTGAGCCATCTCCCCAGCCCTTTAAAATATTTTCAACTGAAGAAAATATTAATGTGGTAGCACATTATGCAAAAATGGCTGAATGGAAGACAAAGACAGAAAAGTGAATGACAAATCACCTTCAAAAACTTATCTTTTTCTTTATTGCAAGTAGGTTTCTTACTTTTTAGAAACATATTGTGCTTGGAATAATTACGAATGTGTTTCCTTCTGATACTGACAAATTGAATTGCATCTGTACTTTATTAAGCTGAAGCTTTAAGAGGCAGTACACAGTGATGACTACCTTCATTTAAAAATCTTCTTTACCTGCTGTATAAATGTTACCTATTTCTTTGTCTTTATACAAAACAGAACAAGTTTACAGTATGGAATTATGTGTTTAAAAAGGTTGAATTATGATAGAAAAGAACTAGAACGGAGACGAGAAGCAAGCCAACATGAAATAAAAGGTAATACGCATTTTTTTTTTCATTTAAGGGTTTTAGGTATTTGCTTTTTAAAGGTAAAATGCTGTGAATGTTTTAGTAGTCATCAAAATGCATATTTGTTTGTGTCATGTATTTTCTTAGTTAGAACCAAAAGGATAGTATCGCATCATAAGTGACTTATCTCATTTGGGATGTATTCTTCATGTTTTGAATGGAAATTTATTCTTTGAAACCATTAATTATGCTCTTTCTGAAACAGAATTTCACTACGTAGTTCAGACTGACCTTGAACTCACCATGTACCCCAGGCTGGCCTTGAACTAGTGACAACTCTCCTACCTCCACCTCCCCAGTGCTTGGATTGCAGGCATGTCCCAACACACTCTGTGGTTTAAGAATCCCCCCTGTAGTCTAGTCTAATCCACTAATAACCTTTAGCCCAGAATGATTTCTTTTATTTATTTTTATTTTTAGGGAAGAGTCTACAGTATGTTCAGGGTCTCACTAGTAGATCAGACTTGTAGTAATTCTTCTGTTTGCAGCCTCCCAAATGCTGGGATTACAGGCAGGTGCCACCACACCCAATCTCAATCTCCATCTCAGGGTGCCTTGGGGGTGGGACCGGTACAGCAAGCCTAGGGATTGAATCCCCTGTCCCTGTGCCTGCTTGCGGGTGCTTCAATTCACTGAGCTATTTGGCCGGCCCAAGAATGATTTTGGATAGCTGAAACCGTACAAACACATCTGATTTGAATAATGAGCCTACTGCATGTATCAGATATTCAAGGTTCTTGTGCGTCTCCTCCTGGACTCCTTGACCTTGGCTGGATGGCAGCTGTAGGAACAGGAGGTGGCATGTAATTACTGCACTGCACAGAATGCTGGAGAGTTGTGTGGGGCCAGGCACAGTCACTTGCAGTGGTCCATACCCGAGAACTGCCGAGGGGTCTGTGGAAACAGCCCATTTCAGTTCCTGAGAATTCAGGCAGTTCCCTCAAGAGGTCTAATGTCCCACCACTAGGTACCTCCTCTTCAGTAGCCATCACTTTCCCCTGGCCAGCACAGTATAGCTCTAGCTGTCAGGACATGGGCTTTGGAAACACTTACACAACATCAAATTATGCCAACCATCTAAATATTGAGAAATACCTTAACATTCAAGGTGAAAATGACTTAATAGGAATATGTTAGGTTCTATGCTTGTTCAGAGTGATGGATCCTTATTATTTTTGGTGAAGGAAGTAGTGAATTGTTGAATATAAGATATTAACATTCTTTAGTCAAGCTCATTGATCATATGTTGTTTCAAGGGAAAAAACATTCTAAGAGAAACATAAGCAATAAATATAGAAAGTATTTGATATTAAATTATTTGTTATATTTTCTTTTCCTTATATCTAAAAATTGATACTTGTAAGCCTTTCCTCAAACTTAGTGGGAGTTTCAACATTAGTGACTCAAATTAGACATGAATCTCAACTTTGCTTTTGGGGTTTACTATAATTGGAAAACAGTATGCATTGTTTCCTGCATCCTCTTTTCTAATATTAAAGTTTAGCATTATTTTATTCCTTACTTATTGTCATCCTTTTTGGTGATTAACAATTTTCATTTGTGATTAACCAGGTCAGAAATTATGGTTATATCTGGTAGCTTTTAGACACTACATCAATTTCAGTATACTGGGCCTGATTCTATAGGAAAATAATTATTTAAAAATATTTCTGTATGTATGATTCATCAGAGACTACATAGACACATAATGGATTTTTTTAACACTTCATTTGACTCATTACTGAAGAGCAATAAAGGGTGTTTTCCATGATCAAATCTGAGTTGTTTGTGGTAACTGTATTTTAGGGACCCAGGAAACAAGGTTGCTTTCAGTGCACTGTTCCTTGGTCAAAGATGGACCCTGGACGGAAGTATGCATTTGACCTTACAAAAGATGTTTTCACTCAAAAATAGATTTTACCCATGGGACACCACTTTCTAGTTTCCTTTGTATTTTTTTTTTTTCAGTTAGATTTCATTGTTCCTACTCTCACCACATGAAATGCTACATCTATAGAAAAATGCTAAAAGAAGAATTGCTCATTTGGCCCTAACCCAAATGTTATAATAGTAACTGTCGATTGCGTGTTAGAGTGCAGTCCTAAGAAAAAACCTTCCATGATTCATGATGATTATATACAAACAATGCCAAATGATAAGTAGCTGTGAGCGAGCTTCCAAAGAGCCCCTATTTCCTATATTTGATCTGATGACATTTACAAGAATAGCTCTCAACGGTGACTAGGGGTCTCTGTTATTATCAGAAGTGTTAATTAACTTTGACCTTAATAAACAGGTTTCTGAAGTGAAAAAAAGTATTGAGAATGTACTAACATTTAATTTGTTGCTAGGCAACAGTCAACACTGAGCCCTAGCCTTTTGCTATTGAGATCAAAAGGATTTAAGGATGCATTAAAGTCAAGGCATACATTTCACTTGGAACCAACTTTCCAAGAGGGATCTTATTTACAAAATGAACAACAAAAATCTGGATTATACTGCGTCTTCATCCTATCACTGTCATTTCATACATTTGATCTCTCTTAACTACAAATATGACAATGGAAAGTTTGACTGACCTAAATTTGTTGAAATGTAATGATGTTTTGATGCTTCCTAACTCCAAAACATAAATCCAGATCTAGAAAAGAGTAAATGCTTAATATTCACAGAACAAACTAGACCACTTGTATTTTTGTGAAAGTATTAATCCATTTGTTTAAAGATGTGGCATTT